CTTTAAATCATATGTTTACTATCAAGAATTTGTTGATTATGATTATAGCAATTAGACCATTTGCTAAAATGATAATGCAAGAAGAAATGTTTTATGAATTAAATCCAACTAAAAATAAAATTTATATTACATCTTATTTTTCTCATTAAACATAACAGTAAATACGTATATATAGAACATTATATTGCCTTTATGTTGACTTGGGGTATGTCGACTTTTCTATCAGATCATTGCTGAGGGAGAATATTGTTATTGGTTATAATAAGTTATGAAATATCATGATTCGTCTCTACACTGTAATGCAAGGATTTATATTTCATAACATTTATAAAAGTTACATTTGTGCAGTGAGACTTGACTGCTGAATCGAACTGTAGCTTTATAAGGTTTTACGAGCATATTTTAATCTTTGGCCCTTACGCTTTTGTCAGAGACTAAAATATTAAACCATAATGCTATAGTTCTGCAGCTTATTTAGTCCAATCTACTGTTTTATATCATTTAAAATGAATGCTGCATTTATTTTAATTCATATCGACAATCTGTATTGTATATATAATTGTTAATTAGTTCAAGAAATCAAAGCCTTAAATAAAGATAAGTAATTGAAAACTTTATTTTTATGTATTCCCTCTATTAGGAAAACGAGACGCAGTTTTTATCTATCAAGGCTACATTGTCTTTCAAGTTTTTAAAGTACATTTTCAATGTCGGGAAACATGGGCAGTTGTTCCGGGTAGGGATGGGGATTTTGTGAATCTTTATTTACTATTTATAACTTTTTATTATGTCAACGACCCTTTAAAAAAGTAGACAATGCAAAAAATATATATTTCTGATACATGTATTATATTTAATTTTTAAGATGTCATAATATGAATTGAAGTATATCTTGCTAATCAAATACCAAATGATTATTTAACTTACCTTCTAATATACACAACACTCTTTCTCGCATTGTATTTTAGTCAAATGACTCATTTGATATAATATATTAAACGATTCATTGATAGATAAAAGATAATAAAGGGGAGTTTTCAAATGTTCAATGCGCATTTGATTGGTAAGTCTGGTTTTTGAATCTCGAAACTCGAATTACGAATCTCGTATTTCGAACCTCGAATCTCGAATGAGCCTTTTGAATGGTTAATCTGGATCTTGAATCTCGAAACTCGAATTTCGAATCTCGTATTTCAAAACTTAAATCTCGAATGAGCCTTCTGGGCTTTCGAAGGGGGTTCAATTAAAAAGGACTTCACTAAGGAAACTCCCATTTCATGTGTATACTTAAGATCGAGAAAAATTTGCACGATGTGTTTTTCTTCTATATTCATAAGAAGTCTCTAAATACAACCTTTGGAGTACATTTCAGAGCTTTTACAACCTTTAAATCATTTTGCACTACTATCCGGTGCGCCATAACGTCATCAAACGTCGTCATTTTTCGTGATGTTTTACCACTTTCGATTTCGATTGCTGAAATTTCGGAAGCTGCCAAAAATTATTAATGCAATGAAAATTTTAAAAAGACAAAAAAATAGATTGCAGAATCGAATAAGGAGATTTTTCCCCCAATTTTGCATATTCAACACACAGTAAACAAAACAAAATCGTTATTTTTGTCAATAAAGTACATGAAAAGGTATGATGCCCTAAGATACTCGTATGATGAGTAAACATATTCATATGTTTATTCAGTAAACATAAACATTCATTGAAAAATTTAGCCAAGTGCATCCATAACTTTTTGATAAAAACGCTTTGTCGACGATTTTACCGGACAAACCGCGTAGAAGCAGAGCAAAAACGGACCTCCAAAACATAGAAGGTGAGATCAATTGTCAACGAAAAGCGATCATTCACTGCCGACCGGCCAAAACCGCCCGTGAATACACGAAATTATATGCCAAACCACCTCTGAAATTTATGCAATACATGCAAATTTCCTATGAGTTCACAGCAAATGCAGCTACAAATATTGTATACAATGTTGATACCTGCTTTGTCAGCTTGGACCAGAACAAATTGTTCATGTATTTTTTACGTGTGTTAAATAGCCTTTCTCTGTAATCACTTAAACTTCGTTGCCACGCATGGTCACCGATTTTGATGAAACTTTACCCATGCTTTGTACTTGACACCAGAAACAAATATCAAACACAATTTCGTTGCTATGTGTCTCGATTGCTCTGGCAACAGCTGAAAAAGTTTGAAAAATCAAGATTTTCAGCCACTTTAATAAAAACTAGAAAAAGCAAACAAATCATTCTCACAAAAACATGACATCTTGATGTCACTTTTGATTTAAAGAAACTGTTTAGAATATAACTCTAACTAAGTGGTAACCAAGGGTACATTTGGAATACATTTAAAATGCTGAAATATGCTGAAAAACAATCCATATTCACTAATGGTAGGTGTTACATGCTCAAATTCAATCAACGACTTAAGAAACGCAATGAAAATGGTTGAATTAAGTATATAAATATAAGCAATATTATTCTATGAATAACTTTTATGGTTGCCATGGTAACACAGTGTAACCATGCAAAACCAGTAACTAAATTTGGGTTAATGCTACTGTCTTGAGGAAAAACATGAAAACTCAAAACTGGCAAATATGCATCCTTAGGACCTTACAACACCGAAACCATAAGAAAAAATTCATCTTTAATGATAAGGAAACCTTAATGACATTAACCTCTAACTGAAAAAATTGAAATAACTATGTTCGGGCTCTTTTTTTAACTATGATTTATCATTAATCTACAATCATTTGAGTTATTTTCAAACATGAGTAGAAGAGCATGGTACCTTCTGCATACTGACAATAGTTCGTATCTTTGATAATTTTGAAGAACGCCGCATCATTTTTTTTCTTGACCATATGCCAACAAAATCCGGCCTGATTTGTGATACCACCATCTTTTATTGATATAGATGGGTAGGAAAGGCGGGACTTCGATCAACACAGATAGAGGGAACTACATATCCGAGTGATCTACCATAGATGTTTATTATTATTCACATTGTTTTTTATCGAGAAAAATATACTTATCCGATGACTGAATCGCCAACGCATTGATCAGGGTAATTTACACTATGAACTTCTTCAACTTTCAAACTTTCAATGTTCACCAAAAGCCTTTTATAGTGGATACAATGACCTTGTCAGTAAATACAGTTAATCACTGAGTCAAAAGCTGACTGATGTTTCTCATGCTAGTTGCTAGTACTTTTTTTTAAACTGAATTGATGACGGATTTCCCATTATTTCCGATGACAAGGGGATGCTCACTCCTCCATGCTACCTGATCCCACCTCTGATGTTTTGGAGGTCCGTGTTTGCTCTGCTTCTATTTTGTATCATTTATGGACTTTTGTTGTTGAATAATGATTGTTATATCCATATGTTTCATACGTAAAAATACTCATGGGACCTCAGGGTCTATCGTTTTGAACCACGAAATACCGATGAAATTTGTATTCAAGAGTAGCCAGAGCAAAAATGTAAATGGACGAAATATAGTATTCTTAGGACTTTTAAAAACTGACCAACGACACGAACAATAAAAATTCTCAAATTTTCGGGACGCCCTGTGTCTTCCAAATTATGTTTCTGTTTCAGTAAAAGTAGTATATTATGACGGTTAACATAGGGATCAGTTGCATGCAAAAATAAGAGTAAAATCAAGATATTTTAATCCGTTTACAAGGGCAGGTATGGTTAATACGCCATTTAAAATATAACCTTTCAGTAATGTTTTCTGGAATCTGTTCAAATAATGAATGCAGTACGCAATCCTGTATATGGCGAATTCATCCATAAGTTTTCTCATAAGGATTTAAATATAAGGCATTAATTGATACCACATTGTAGCCCTGGATACAGTGTTTGCTCAGCTTGTGATCTCTTTTTTCTATAGACATTAGGTACGTTCCCAGTTTTTAAGGTCTGTCGACTTCCTTCAGAAGACGTCCATATTGTTTTCTTTTGTTTCCTTTTTTCATTATAATTCCCTTTCTAAGTAAACGTAATTTCTCGAAAACTACTGAACCGAATTCAAAGATTTTCAGGAATGATGCATTGTTGTAATATCTCAAGACCTTTCTTTTGTTTTTTGAAAAATTAATTCCGGTCGCAGTTTTTTTTATCGATTTTCTTTTTTTATGTTGTCATTTTGTACAGGCATTTTTTGAACCACTCAGGATTTAATCACATTTTCAGGGATTATAAAACATCTTTTTGAGTTATGCATGACGTCTTTAGATTTTACATTCGTCACTTCCGGTTGACACAGAAAGTGTTATTTTATTTAAATATTTTTTTTAAACTCAAACGTTTTTAATAAAGGTAAATTGAAGTTATGTTCACATTTACATTTGTCAAAAAAACTCATCCATTGGAGTTATTTCAGGTGTGAACTGGAAGTTGACGAAAAATTAATTTTTTCTCTTTATTCAAAAGATTTTCTAAAAAATGCTTTTATATGAGCTTTTCAAAGTTTTTTCCTGGCTTGTGACTTCAATAGCAGTCGGAAACTAAGCCGAATCTTTACAAGTCGTCAAATAACGTCGCTTCCGGCCAAACCGAAAATAGAAAATGCAAATGTTTCGGTTTTCGACATGGTTTGTTTAATTTATGACACTAGAAGCATCCAAAAAAAAAATTTTATCCATCGAAATCACTTGCAATCATACCGGAAGTAGCCAAAATAAGCGTTTTTGTCGATTTTGCCACAGAAATTATAACTGGAGACGTTTGTACGCTTTCTTTTGGATTGCTTTCTTTTGTCTACGTCACTAATGGTCAAATAGGGCGGAAGGCCTAATCATTGCTTAGCAACTAGCTTCGCTCTAATTATTTTTTCTATTTTTTCTTTTCCTATTTACAACTCTAATAATAGAGCATGCCCTGTGCTGAATTGTGAACAAATAATTTGTATGTTTACAAATGCCAAATTCTTTGTCAACCTTCATTGACTATTTTTCATACACAGATATTCCACTATTTGGTGTGTTAACAAAGAAAGACCAAAATCGGAAAGAGGCAGGAATATTTCAAGACTTTGAGACCAGCTTTATAACAACTCTTGGATTGTCTCAACTAGACTATCTTTACTGCACAAATTACTGTGATGCTAATATAACCGAAATTCGCGAAAGAAGAAGGACACATATTCCTGACATAGACATCCCTGTGCTAAAGTTCCTGATTCAGGTATAAGGACAAGTTAATGCATAACGCATGGTCTAAAAAATTGAAACAGATGTGTCAGACTCTTTTGGTATCTTACATTTAAAGCCAATCGGGATATATAGTTAATTCACAGTCTGTCTTGAATATTTTTGAATATTTCCATTTCTATTTTTTTTTCTCTGCTATAACTCTTTGAAAGTTGTCGGAATTTATTTCTTGATTATTCTGCCAGTGTAAAGATGAATAATGACCCCCATCGAATAATGACCGTAAATGACAGTGTAAAGATGAATAATTCGCCTCGAAAAATGACCCCGGTCATTACGCAGCTAGGATAAGCTGTCCGTAAAATATCAAATTGTTCAATCTGTACTTACTTCGCTGAACTACCTAGATATGACGTCATAATGATATGACGTCAAGTCACTACATACTCGAGCTGACATGACGGGAAAAGTGTCATAATTATAACATGGCATGTAGATTTATTTTGAAGACTTATTGTTTAATTCAAGTGTAAGGATTGTTTGTTAAGCTCGAGTGTGCTGTTATGATTTGAACATTTGAAATTCGAAAATCCCTATTTCTTTTGCTTGTCCGATATGAACATATTCAAACAATAGCAAAAATAATGTGTGATACGCTCCCCTTACACGGCTTTAGACAGAGTTAAAATTTATGAAGCGTGTTTATATTAGACTTGCACAAATGATTAACAAAGACAAATTGAAGATATATTGTGTGAATCTATAAGAGAAGAATTACCTCTAACTGGATTTTGCTAGGGGATTGTGTGTAGTTTATCCATTTTCTTATAAATCGCGATAAAGAGTGGAAAATATCCCTTTTTATGTTGGTAAGTTAAACTCTTAAATATTTTCTAACCGAATAAGAATTAAACCTGCCCCCAGCACTTTCTATGTACTAGAGATCACGATGAATTGATCTATGTAACAAACGTTTCTGTTTTGCACTATTGTGCCGCAGCGATTTTTGTGCAACAATGAGGAATATCATAAATCTTCGTCATGTGATCAACACAGTCATGTGACATCACAAAAGTGCTGTAAATTAAACCTGACTAAACTTTTATCTCGAATTGACTACAAATTCAAACAAGGGTTACATATTAAAATTAAAATCTAGCTTAGAATAAAATTTATATTTTCAAGGCATTTTAAGCCTTCGGACAGTCTTATCATAACTGCGTATTCGACGTAAAAAAGGATCCTTATTGCCCGTAGAAAAAAGTGTCACCACCCTAAAAATTTGCAGAGCCCACGTGAAGAAAAATACCCCCGTAGAAAAATGACTCCCTTTTGATTCAAGCTGAATTTTTAGGGGGCAAAAAAATTAGACAAAGAAGCATATTGGCCAAAATGCTCACCCGAGCTTATTTGGAATAAATTGATGATATGTTGATCTCATAACATACGATTATACTTATATCTTAATGTCAATGCAATGATTCAGAATCAAAAGGAGTAAAGATTTATCTAGCCTAAAGGATTAGGTAAACATTGTTTTTCGAGGGTGGAAATCGACAGAAAAAATCAACAGTATCATATATTTTTATCCTACGCTTGAAAAGCGGGAGGGTACATGTATATAGTGATTGGGATGTCAGTCCGTCTGTTACGCTTTGGGGTATCTATATCTTATCCGCAACTCCTCTTGTATATAAAAAAAATGTATTTGTAAAATAGCTATGCCCCTGTATGGCAACATAGCGAAGATTAAACTTTTCTTAAAGGCAATTTATATATAATGGTACCCAAAATAGGGTTTTCTCACAAGAAATACAATTGCAAACAGAAAAGCCCTAGCACCACTTGTTCAGAATAAATGGCTAAGAATAAGTGTTTGAAAAGTAGGTCAAACTCAAGGGTCAACGGGTCAAAGTTGATGGTTTCTTAAGGTTAAATGTAACAAGGAATACATTTGTGAAGTATGAGAGTACTAGTATCTACCGTTTAAAAGTTATAGCCAAAGTAAATTAATCAAGAAATTGGCTTTTTTTTGTAAAATGGGACAAACTACATGGTAAAGGTTAAAAAGTCAAATTTGGTGGTACCCAAAGGAAGGTCTTGTCACAAGGAATGTACACATATTGAATATGAAAGACATAGCTACAATGAATGAAAAGTTATGTTTAAGGTTAAAGTTTTTGCGGAGAAACAGACCACCAGATAGACAGACATACAGACAGACAGACGGACACGATAAAACTATATACCCCCGATTCTTCGTTTACATTAACATAAAAAGAAATTGTCTTCAATTAACTTTTCATATTTTGATACAGTATAAAGAAGACGTTACAAAAATGAACATGTTTGTTCTAATTTTCATATTAAATTCTCTGAAAGATATACTTAGAACTGGGAAAATTTTTGGAGAAAAACAAGAATTAAGAAATGTAATGAATGCAGTGTGCTAAATCAAAAGTCTATGTCTAAATGTATATTTTTGCATTAGAATGTGTATTTTACACTAGCCTATAGCTTTACAGAGCAAATTTTAGGTGTTATACCAACCCCACCTTCTTACTTATTTAGGAGGAAGTTGATTATCAACAAAAGCAAGACCATCATAGAGCAATGGAAAAAGAGAAACTTAACTCCTATTGGAAGAATCACATTGATTAAATCATAACTTATATCACAGCTTAATCATTTATTTATTGCTTTACCAAACCCACCTGTTAATGTTATAAAAGATCTAAACAAATTAATCTTTAACTTTTTATGGAAATCAAATGTAGAAAAAATAAAAAGAAAAGTTGTAACACAAAAGTATGCATAGGGAGGATTAAAAATGGTTAATAGTGTGTCCTGCAAAACAGCTTTAAAATCTACACGGATAAGAAAAATAATAAATAACAATAGCTCAAAGTGGAAAAAATTATTGGAAAATAGTGTTGAGATTGATAAACTTCTAAATACAGGATCAGAATATTTGTCACATTTACAAGAGAATGTAAAATAAATAATTTCTGGAGAGATGTTTTGAAATCTTTCCAAGAAATTCAAGAGAAAAAAGATATAGGAAATTGCAAGAGTATGCCTGTCAACCTTTATGGCATAATAACAATTTCAAAAACAAAATCGAAATTCAAGCAATATTTTACAAGTCTTGGTATGCAAAGCGAACAAAATATATGATCTTTTAGATAAAAAATAGTAACTACAGTACAGGCCACGAGTTTTCCGCAAAAAACACGGGGCCCCGTGGACCGCAAGTCCACGCTTTAGCGTGGACCTCGAACCTTGTCGGCGTCTTTGAAGTCAGCGTGTCTGTGCACCGCGTGTAACACGGCGTGTCACAGTTCTGATGATAAATATTTTAAACATTCTCATTGCCCTTATTTAATAAAGTTAAATCAACTTTCTTTCGAAATATTTGTTGTACTTTTTCCATAAATTAATACATATATTGGTAATTTATCGCATACAGATAATTAAACTAGTAAGATGCATTAATTAAAACTTGATAACAACGTACTCGTGTCCAGCAAAAAAATATACAATCACGTTTCAAATTAAATCCTAATTATATTAGTCATAAAAAGTTCAATAGACTATTATTATATTACACTAAGAGGAAACACACTTTCATAAATGAATTACTTTATTGTCTCTACTTTCGATTTTGATTTTAACTGTGTTCAATTAAATCGTTGATACAAGATCGTTTTTCCCTTCGTATTACTTATCAGATGCGTGAATATACTAAGTGAATTAATTATTTTGTAAGAATTTAAATGTACATGTACTGTGTCTAGATTATTAAAAAAAAAATACGTATCAGACTAGCACATAAATTCTGCTCTTTGATACCGATACCGATACTCGACGAATCATTGGACAGGTTCAGATGAGGATTATTGCATTTAGACTAACACTAAAAATCTGCAATTATGTAAAATTTGGAGATAAATATTGAATGCGGTAAACTCGAAAATCTACTGAACAGGCAGAGATGATAATCTGAATAATTTCATTAATTAAAATAGTGATAAACTTTATTAGTAAACACGCTGAATACAAAAATCACAGCCGAATTTTGGCAAATGAAATGTGCTAACTTCAGTACGAATATTACATCATTCTGAAATATATCGTGTGAAAAGAAGAAAAAAAAGTTTGAGAAAACATTGATACTTAGCGATTTTTAAAAATGTCTTCCCCCTTCTAGAAAGCGATACGAATCAGCTGGTTAAAACTTTATCAGAAGTCTGCATTTATGTTATGTTTTTTTAAATCTTAATCTACGGGATAAATTCTTATTTGTGTTTGAAAAAGGATAAATAAGTCAACAAATAATTGTAAGTTTATAATTGTTGTTGTAGTGAAACCTGGAATGTGAAATTCGCATGATATCAGTTGAGTGTGTTACATGTTATACACTTGCTGTGGTCAGAGCTAAAGAATTTGAAAGGTGTGATAAACATACGGCGCCCCTGGCCCACCGGCAGAGACCCAATATATTTTTTGAACAGGTGTGAACTCGGAACTGACCATAAGATTGTTTCAAATCACAAGAGAAATTCTTTCCGCGTAAACAGACTTTCAAGGTCACCTAGCGTCATGGCATATTGATTGGCAGGTGATGCACGAGAATTTTGTGCTTACAGCATATACAAAGAACGAATTAATTGCATTAAATGGGTTGAATATGAACAAAAGTTGTGGCAATTAAATAGAATTATAGAATGATTAATTGTGACCTCCTTAACTTAAATAAAACTAAGAATTAAAAAAAAATTACAGATTATAATATAATATACATATGTATGTTAAAAGGGGGTTGTATGAGTCTCTCTCTCTCTCTCTCTCTCTCTCTCTCTCTCTCTCTCTCTCTCTCTCTCTCTCTCTCTTGTACTGGTGTTGCTCTTTATACACTTTACAAGAAAAGAAAAACTTATTGAAATAACTACTTACACTGAAAGGATTTTAAAAACACAACGTAGTGAATACTACTCTATGAAAATAATGTTTGCTGTTACGAGAAATACGCTT